GGATGAAGCCACCTGGGAGTGAGAAGAAGACCTACGGAAGGACCACCCACACATATTTTCTAGCCAACCCGAATCTCGAGGGCGAGATTCATCTTAAGGGGAGTAGGTTTGTAACATCCCAAATTTTCAATTTGGAATGTTATACATAGGTCATCATATGCATATCATATTTTATTTGCATTTTCGTTTTGATCCTAGAAATTCTAAGCAACTCAAGGACCCACGAAGAGAGTTGGGGATTTCATTTATTTTCATATTTGAATTTTTATCAAATTTGAAAAGAGGATCATTTTGGTTTAATGTTTTTCTCTCCGAATATTTCCAATATTAAAAATAAATGAGAGGAGATAAAATGACTTCTCCAAAATAAAAGAAATATTGGGGGGAAATGTTAAAATCAAATAAATGTTTTATTTGGATTTTTATTGCTATTTTATTGGAATTAGAAAATATGCATTTTTTTAAAATTGCATTCTTAGCCCAAATAAATGTTCACTTTGTCCTTTGAAAGACAGTGTCTCTGGAGAGGGAACACTAATAACCCCCGTCAATCTCTTGCTACATGGGATTTGGTTTGTCGACCAAAAAAGCATGGTGCCCTGGGAGTCACTCATTTGGGAGTTCAGAATGAATCCCCTTTGATGAAGCATTTGTTCAAATTTTTCAACAAAAGAGATGTTCCATGGGTTGAGCTTATTTGGGATTCTTATTATCACTCATCACCTCCACAAGTTACTCAACTTTGTGGCTCTTTTTGGTGGCGTGACATCCTGAAACTTTATGACAAGTTCTGTCTGTTAGTCACTCCACAAGTGCATGCAGGTGATACGGTGGTGTTCTGGCTTGATCGTTGGCAAATTGATAATAGAGTGATTGCCCTTAAGGATCGTTTCCCTAGACTACACTCTTTTGTCATTGATGATATGATATCAGTCAAGGATTTCTTTGGTTACCAATCAATGGTTGAGGGATTCCACCTTCCTTTTTCTTCTGAATCATACCTGGAGCTATCTCAACTTCAAGTTTTGTTGGACCCCATTAGTTTGAACCCAAATGAGAAAGATATTTGGAAATGGCCATCTAAATCTGGGGAGTATCAGTCCAAGCTGTATTATGAGTTCACCTTCTCTCACTTGGGGATTGATCCAATCTTCAAATGGATCTGGAAATGCTCCTGTACCCTCAAGATCAAAGTGTTTGGGTGGCTTCTGTTGATGGATCGCCTCAATACTAGATACATGATGCAAAGGAGACATTGGCACATCCAGGATGATACTTGTGTTCTTTGCCAGTCTTCCATGCATGAAGACAGAATTCATCTCTTTTTCTCCTGCAATTTTAGTCAGAGAGTTTGGAATTATCTTGGAATATCTTGGCTGGCCCAGCCCAACCAGTCCACCTTCTTGATGGCCTCAGCTTCTAAGAAAGAATTCAATAAACCTTTCTTTTCTGAGGTAGTTTCCACAGCAACTTGGAATATCTGGACATAGAGGAATGGGAAAATCTTCAGAAATGAGGATCCTAGCTTTAGATCATGGAGGAGGAACTTTGTGCATGACCTCTCTCTTTTAGCACACAGAATCAAATGTAAATATAGGGATAGCCTGTTAGCCTGGATAGCCTCCCTCCCCTAGTTCTCTTTGTAAGTATTGTAATTACTTTCTTTACTTTCTTCCTTTTTGTACAGAGAACTTTTATTTTGTTGAATAAAGAGCTGTGAGGTTGTTGCCTTGCAGTATATAGTCAAAAAAATTATTAAAGGAACATGAAAATTTATTTCGGAATTTTTGGACTACGTTTGATGTTTCTTTTTATTTATTTACTTCGTCCGTTTAAAAAAACACGCGAACCGACTCTGGGCCGTGCCCGAGCCGGACATCTCCCGCTCGGCCCCTTTAAGAGGCGAGGCCCGAGGCCGCCAGCCCCCAAGCCGCCGCCACCCCGTGCCCGCGCCAAACCCTAGTGCCGCCGCCGCCTCGATTTCCGCATCGCGCCACCGCCGCAGTCACCCCGCGCTGCGCCGCCGCCGTCCGCCGGAGTCGTCGCCGCCGCCGCCGGTTTTCGCTCGGTTTAGGTGTAAACCGTTCGTTTTAAAAAAAACCTAGTTCATTTTTTTATTAGATCGGTTTTTCTCGGTTTAGATCTATTCTGTGAACGATCGTTCATCTAGTTCTTATAATGAATGAATTCACTCATTTGACTCTGTTAGCAGACGTTCGTGCGATAGATTTTTCTTTTTCTGTTTTATTTTTCACTAGGGACCTATCTGCGATTATTTTTATCACACATTAGCCCCTGATGTTCAAACCCTCGCAACTTTTTAACCATTCGTCGGAATCGAGTGAAACCAATGCCAAAATCTTCGTCTTGAGCCCCTCTTTTTGATTAATCAAATTGAACAGGATTTTGATAAATTAAAATTTGGTTTCAAGCAGATTTATTTTCGAACTTTTTTCGATCGTAGTTTGAGTCTCGTAGCTCTGATTCAATTGATTCTTTTTGCAAATCGAAGTTCTTCGGTTGAACTTTCAGATTGGATCTTCTTATTTGGGTTTTACCCGTGCATGTATGCTTGAGTGCTTATGTATGCTATTGTTTGTTTGCGATAGAATTCCAGAGTGCGAAGCGTGCTACTACGAGTCTCTAGGGTTTGCAGATCGTCAGCAAGGCAAGTAACACTTTGATCATATCTTTTATTACTCAGTTTTATGCATTAGTTCTAATCCCCAAACATTGCATGATTAGGATATGAATAACATGTGGGTTTGGGAAGTAGATGATGAGGTAGAACCTATTGCCCTTTATTATCAAACCCTTGGGAGTTATTTCTACGTTATGTTCAGATTGCTATGCTATGCTCGTAGAGTGGATTGGTTGAGTGTATCCATGACAGATGTGAGAGTTGTTAATTAGTGGTTAACTTAAGGTGGCTACTTAAATACACATCTGGGTGGATTGGTTGCGGGCACCTGGAGAATCCAGTGTTGTCCTAGGATATCCTGGAGTACCCGTGTGATCATCCTACAGTTCGCCACCCAGGCTCAAAGGGATCATAAGATTATTCATACTAGAAATTTCCGTGTGCAGGTACAAGCTATTATGGGCTCTAGCATAGTTGAGTATGTTGCATCACCTCTTTCAGTGGTGGGCTAGGAGGTGTAGGGGAAAGTAGGTATAACTGTCCACCCAGAGTAAAGAGTTAATGTTTCTGAAAGACTGTGTCTCGGTCATCCGTTTCTTAAACATCATGTAGTGCGAGAAATCCAACGGAGGAGATCGAGTCTTGTGGGGAAAAGTGCACAAATCTCTGCAGAGTGTACAAACTAATCATGGTTAGCCGTGTCCCGGGTTATGGACATCTTGAGTATCTGGTTCTTGGATTATCATGTTGATCTCATCACTCTAAATTAATTTTGTTGGGTTATTAATACTGTTTAATTGGGATTGAGTTGGGGGAACCTTCTCAATGTTTAACAACCACCATGATAGTTATATAAAATTTATTCTTTTGTTGTAGGGGAAAACTGGCTTTATGCAAAACATTAACCATAGAGCTTTCCACAATGTTATTTTGCCAGCATATTTCATGTGCTGACCTGTTTCGGACTGCAATGTATCATGTTGCAGACTTTTCAGACGGAGAGTAAGGTGCGCTAGGTCGTTGTCGTGCACTCAGCTATGCCGTTGGAGTTGATGGACTCACTTTATCTTCCAAGCCTTCCGTTGTTATCTTATTTAGATGGCCTTAAGCCATATTATTGTAATAAGTTTTCTTTTGAGACATTCGATGTAATAAGTGTGTGATTGCACTCTGTTATAAATCCCTCGAGTATTGTGTGTGTCAGCATTACTGATCCAGGGATGACACGTAAGCACAGAGATTTGACCGTTTGAGGTCGGATCGCTACGCAGGTCACCGGCGTCCCATTCCCCTCTGCTGAAGCACATCCCCGCGGTTCCACTTCGATGAGCGATGCTGCCGAATATGGGGAAGCGGGCCGCCCTTTGCGCTAAAGCATTTACCTCCGGGGTTCACGGTATTCCGATGAGCGGGCTGTCGGACATGGGGAAGAGAATGGACGCTCCGCCGCAGTCGGCTGTAGACTAGTCAAGGGTATCTGTGTTGTGGGAATGGATATCCGCCGACGCCGGTCGTAGACTAGTTTTACTTTAGTCTGGTATAGTATTTAGTTAAAAACTGAAATATAATGAATTTCTTCTTGTTTACATGAAATCCGTCGTGTTTGCACGAATTTCGTCTGGTTAGTTCAAATAGTGATTGAAATGTATGCGGGAGCGTTTGATGGTGGCATGTGGCATCACTGTTTGAGAACTATCCTCCTGTCCGCGGACGGATACCGGAGCAAATTTGCGGTTCGGTGTATTGTTAAAAAATAATTGAAACTGCAAGTTCAATGTTTAAAACGTACTACTTTGCATTTTATTGGCTAAATATCCAATGGTGTTCGATCCGGAGACATCTTGATCTACAGTCAAATGCTCTACCACTAAGCTATGGACCCAAGTGATAAATTAATGCGAATTTAGTTTATATGATAATTACAAGTAACACTCGAGAAACGGAGTAGAAAGACCAATTCAGATGTGACCCAAGAAACCCATAGCCGGCAGTACGTCACAGTCACCCCTCTCGTCTGGCGGTTCCATTCGGCAGCTCGAGGACACGAGAAAATCCACTTGCCGCAGAGCTGCTGACCTGCGCGCTGAAACACGCCATCATTCCATCGAGCAAACTCCAAAACTTCCCCCTTCCCCGGTAACCCGCACCTCACTCAACGACCCTCCCAACGGCACTCGCCACTCGGCAGTCGCCACCGTCGCGGCGCTCCTCAGCCAAGCCAACCTTTCGAAATCTCCACGCCTTTGTCGCCTCCCTTTTATACCAAACCTCCTACCACCAGAGTCCCAGTTCCCAGTCATACACATCTGATATCAATCACTCACAGCTGCTGCCCAGCAGCAGGCAAGAAGAGGCAAGAATGCCACAGCTCGATCTGGAGTCCCTCTTCTGCGTCGGCGGCGGCGAGTCAAGGTCGACGAAGGTCGCCTGCGAGACCATCGCGGTCGGAGCCTCCGACGTTGACGTCGCCAACGCCCACGAGCAGTCGCGACGGATTATCTGGGCCTGGTCCGGGCGAACCGGCGCGGCGCTGGAGCGGGACGGGTCGACCAAGGGCGGCTCCAACCCCAAGAACGCGGCGGAAGAGACGACGCGTAACAAGGGCCCGTCGAGGGCGCCGAGGAGGTTGGAGTTGGAGGCAATCGTCGTCGGCGTTCTGCCTGCCGGGAAGATGGTCGTGCAGCAGCGGCGCTCTCATGTGGTCGGCCGCGACTGGCGCCGGCCGGCCGCAGGGGCTAGGGTCTTCGCGAGCGAGGCCGTGGGCGTGGAGCCCGTGTCCCCGAAGGTGTCGTGCTTTGGGGCAGTGCGGTCCGAGAGCCGCGCGCCTGCGGCGCGCGAGGAGGAGGAGGAGCGGAGCGGGTGCTGGGCGAGCGTCACCTCCGCGCTTGGTGGCTTTTTGTGCGGCTCTGACTCGGACAACCGTCGGGAAGGTGGATCTGGGACGAGTGAATCGAAGCCCGCGGTGTCGGGGTCGCCGACGGTAGACGTTTCAGTCCTGTCGCCCCCGCGGCCGGTTCTGGGACTGGGAGACGTGAAGCCCATTGCTTCGCGGCGGTGGCCGGATGGAGATGGGCGGTGCTTGGTTTGAATCTCTTGCGTGCTTGAGGAACAGGAAGCACGGGAACAGTTGTGTACACATCTTCAGTTGTACACAGCCTTCCGTGCTTCGGTAGGCACGGGAACTGCTGTACATTCACGGTTGCCGAGCATAGTAGTACGTGTACTTGCCTGCTTGCGCCCGTGCTAAACAAAACCAACCTTTGATCTCCTCTTGTGCATTGTGTATCCCGCCCCTTTCTTTTGTACAGCTAGCTACGCCTGCTTCCTTCCATGTACGGGCGCAAGCAGGTAAAATCGGTGTAAGTAGTAGTATCATTGTGCGAAATCGGTGTTTGACTTTTGTATGTACTTTCACTTCACTCTTTCTTTGGGGGCACAATCTCATCACTCGGTCACTGGTCGGAGATAAAGAAAACAAAGGCAATGTGTACTACTCCTACTAGTGGTTGGGGCGCCACCTGGCGGCGCCTCTTGATGCAGGATTGGGCGCACTAATCAAATTCCAAATCCACTTTGTTCATAATCCCATATAATAAAACTCCATTATAGTAAATCTTCTCAAAGAGCCAAATGCAATATGCTTGATGGAGAATATCTCTCGGTAAATGAATTAGTACCAAATCATCCAGATCCTTGAAATGGCATTGCATCATGAGTCATGCCAGCTTGCTACTGGTCCTAAAATTGCAAGCAAGGAAAGCTTAGTGATAGACAAGATCAGCAAAGAAATTTAAACAGAAGTGATGAACTGTTGGCATCATCTAGTGAGGATTATAAAGAATAATTCGCTCATGTAAGATCATTGAAACCCGTACAAGACAGATTCTTACAAGTTACAATAGATGGCCATTGCAAAGTTTATGGATAAAAGAGGAAATGCCTTGCATCGGGGCTTACAGCATCAGTCGTCACCAGGACATGAAAATCTCTCAAACCAACACTATTTTGCCATGGAATTGTTGTGAAAACCTGAAACGTCTAGGTTGTATTCTCTTCATATTTTTTAGAATGAAGAGAAGACCATTACTGCATAAAATTGAAATGACAATACTTAAGTACTAAGTACTTTGTTTGCATGGCATATAAAACGAACTCATACCAACCCACCTTGTCATTCAAATGCTAGGGATTTTAGCACTGAAACAAAACAAAACTCATACAATGACCATTTTATCGTTGAATTGATCTCAATCAGATGAATGTAACTTAACCCGTATAACTTCTTGAGGAACACATATCATAATAATTTTGTTTAGGGTATATCTCATAATACTTGCTAGGATGGTTAGTGACACAAACCAAGAACAAGAGAAAAACTACCATCACAATGAAATATAATCACTGCCTGCCGTCTTGAGTTCCTAAAAGGTTCCACCCATATTTTCCTGGAGCAATGAAACACAAACCTGCACAATTTCTCAAATAGGGAATAGATGAAGTATGCAAATCAGATGTAGTATTAAGAGAACAAAAAATAGCAATGTCATTAAAGGATCACTTACAATCAATAGCAGAAGCAGCAATACGATTTTGCTTGTCTCCATCAGCTCTGGACCGGATACCCGCATCACAAAAATACTCAAAAAATGATGGCATAAGAAGATTACCCAGCAATAGAAGAGCAGACTAAATGCAGCCGACTGTATCTTTATTGTTGACCAGACATTTAACAGGAATTTGCAAACCATCCTTCAAATGTGAACGAGAGCACGTGAAGCCAAGAACCGCAAGAAACTTTTCCTGATAAATAAAGTTTTTCTATTACATTTAATTGTAGTTTTTCAAGTATCCAGTTTGCCAGCCGAAACACATAAATAGGCAAGGGAACATTAACAAAATCCAAATAATCCCCATACCAAAGCTCGGCAACTACATAATAACTGGAAGTGTAAAGTATTGAGTTCTAACTTGTCTCCACACTGATTGACACGATGCAATGATCTTAAATCACTTTGTGGTCAGATCAAAATATTAATTTGTTAGTTTCCAATGGTGCATGAATAAAATATCAATCAAAGAACAGAACATAAGCTTCATCCTTTTAGCTTCAAATACAGTTCAGAAGAAACTCGTGCAACGATCTCAAATGATTCTGGGGAGACCGTCCAACCTTTAAATGAGTTCACTATCAATCGGTGTGAAAGACCAGCTAATAAACTAATGATCTCATGTAACTTAATTCCATCATACATTCTAGAACAGAGTAGTCTCCAAGATGTGACTTCTATAGTTATATTTTTATACCAAAGCATTAGTACAAAGAACAAATAAATTACAAAATTATGAAATGTGTTTTGCCTGAAAAATCTCATTACATTAGTTTAATTGCTAACCTTGACAATCTTTCTGAATATTCAGTAAAAGTTAAAGCAAAGTTTGAAGGAACACCTTCTAGGAAATTATCTATTTGGAATAGAGGTGGTACTCCTTTTTGGTCCTTCAAAGATTGTGCACACTAATCCAGTTGTCGTACTTGTTAACGTCTCTGTTTGACAGGATGCATAGTTTAGTGAAAATAGAGGAAGTCCAGATGAGTGATAATGATACAATAGTGGTTAAAAATATTAAATGCATTATTACTTTTAGCCTTGCATTATGCGGACCACACAAAAGTGAGACAGCGAGGTAGGCTCCGAGTAAAGTTTTTGGAGGTAGAGCGCCTAGAAGTTTCAATGCTTTCTAAGGCAACCAAAAAGCAATGTGATTTGATCATGTCAGCTAATTTTATGAGCTGCTTGCTTGACATGGAAGTTCAATGTAATAACATGTGTAAACTACAGGAGAGATAAATCAGTGTTCTGGAGACGAAGACACACTCACCATCTTCATTTAGTTTCTTCAAGAGCTGCGAGTTAGAAGGAAGGGCGTACATTCTAGCACATACTACTTTCCTTATGGCCCAGCCATGGTGAGGAGCAAACACCTGAGCATAAGCCTTGGATGCTGCGTCCTTCATGGAGTTGCCTCTGAAACAAAAGAGAATGTGAGCATTCAGATAACATTTACTCAACAGGCATCTAAGAGTAGCAAACCAAAGGGTTGACAACATAACATAAGTTTTTTCTATCACAACATGATATAAGTGACTTCACTACCCCATTTGCAACTTGAACTTACTTTGTGACCAATATCTACTCAAACAGAACTTTCACTATATCAGTCCCACGCTTAACCCTCAGTAGGTTCCACGTATGGCTCCTCGGCTGCCTGACACTGTCTTTTTGAATGTCAAGCTCAACCATGAAGGGTAATGTTGAAATCGTCTTGGATATCTCCAGTAAATCATTAACCTACAACCACGTAAGACGAAGTAATCAGACAAGACCACCAAACAAAGCCTAGATGGCACCAAGTAAGCAATCAAGCACGCATGAGTATGTGAGGTCTCTGTAACACAATAACATCTATAATCCGAAATGGCTGCACACTTGGTTTGCTACGCAGTAGTACTAAAATAAGTGCAGAAGTAGATTGGAACTTCCAACACCTTAAGAATACATCAGAACAAGCATATCAAAATATCAGAAAAGACACTCTGATCCTTATGTGCACACAATAATTCCTAGTTTGATCAAGTTGAAAATTAATTTAGACCATCTAGGCCGGACCTCCTGGCCTTAAACAAGTCCAGGGGATTACCATGATTATCTTAAAACAGAGACACATACAATTGAAGCAGTAGTACTAACACAAGTGCAGAAGTGGATATTACTTTCTACATATGAAGCATATACACCACAACAAGCATAGCAGAAAGTAGCAGAATTAGACAGTCTGATCCTGGTGAAGCACCCAATAATTGCTGCTTCATTCAGTTGAGAATTTGATTGAGATCATTTCACCCAAACTTTCTAGCCTCAAACTAAAGTGTATTATTACAATTAACTTACCACATGGATCCACAGCTATGCAGGGTGTAATTCAAAACGAACTCAAACATAACTTGCTAGCTGAATCTGGCTAAGAATTTGAGATTATTTCGCCTCAACCTCTCTCAGCTTTAAGCGGCTAACCAATGTTCCAGAAATCACCAGAAATTCAAATAGCGGGGAGGAGAGGGGGGCAGAGGAGCGGCCGCTTGCCTTTGGCAACGTAGTCCATCTCGGCGAACTTAAAGGCGATGCCGAGGGGCCGTGGAAGTGGACGAAGAGTTGTCCCAGGACGCGCCGATGTGGCTGTCGTTCTGCTGCACGAGCAGCAACAGCATGCCCCGGACTGCCTAGAACATCCTGCAGCACGACCCCGACAATACCATAGTGTTATCATAAGAAGAACTCGAGGTAATGTTTTAGGTCATAATTCTCGATAGATGGCATATAAGAAATTTTGAATAGATCAATAACTCTAACTCCTACAAAGAATAAATAGATCGTGTGAAACACACTGGATTCACCAATGATTAATTAAATATTCAAGTGGAGGTGGGACTGGAGAGGACGTCATACCTCAAAATCGAGGGAATCGATGGAGACGCGGCGAGGACAGACGGGAGCTGCGATGACGGCAAGGAGGCGAGTCGTCCTGCCACCTGCCACGACGTGTCGTCGAACAAATCAACTCTGCCTCGTGCTCCTCCCGGAATTTCCCGCCGCCAATCCGCTCCGTCACACCTCCTGCCTTCCTATGTTTCCCGCAGATCCGCTGCCGCCGCCGCTCGTATGCGCCTCCTTGAGCGAGGGGGTGGACAAGGAAGCAGAGAGAGGGGGAAGAGGAGGTGGCGGCTGCGGCTAGCGACAGTGAGGAAGACGAGGAGGCGGCGTGTGGAGGAGGCGGAGACGAAGGCGTGCGCGTGCCTTCGTTGGGAAGGAAACAAAATAATCGCAGCGTTTATCTATTGTCTTTTTTTTATCACACGGTAAATCATCGATCGACGTGACATAGCTCAGCGAGCGGCCTTTGCGCGACTCTTATTGGGTTTAATATGGTAGTACTCCAGAAGTAAATTTATTTATCTCACCAGGAAGAAGGTACTACTACGGATGGTCAAAGACGAACGCGGCTGAAACAATGAAATAAATGTACTTTCTAGAAAGAAGTTTTTTTTCGATAAAGTCTAAAAAGAAGTAAAACTGAAAAGTCTCAGACTTTATGGGCTCCCACGCGAGATGAAATGAAATGAAATGGGAAGGCAGGAGAGGCCAGCCCAAGAGTGCGCGCGACTCAACGGATAGATGGATGGAATACATGCTGACACGGGCCGCGCCACTTTTTTTCGGTTTGCGGACCCTCCTCTTCCCTTCCCTTCCTGGCGCGGGCACCAACCGTCTCCCCCGATTCGATTCGACCGTTGGAATGGAACGAGAGCACCGCACCACACGAGGAAAGTAGTAAAAGAAAAACTAAATCTGCAGCAACTGCACACACTTGACGACCGTTGCGCCACTACACACTTCAAACACCACAAAAACTCCTCCATCCAGCCACTCATCGCCCACCGTATTCTCTCTCACCCACCGGTCAACAAACAAAGCCAAAGGAGGAAAGAACGCCGTTAGAGAGAGGACCGAGGTGTGCTTCTCCGTCGCCCTCGCCGTCGCCGTCGCTGCCGCGCCCATGGGGTGCATCTCGTCCAAGCTCCTCCCGCCAGGGCCCGGAGGCCGCACCGGCGCCGCACGCGCCACCGTGCGCGGCCGCGTCGACCACGTCGTCTCCCTCACCTCCACCACCTACGGCGTCCTCGACCTGCAGGCCAAGCACGGCGCCACGGCTGGAGCCAAGGAGCTGCCGCTGCCGCAGGAGCAGGAGAAGCCGATAAGCCGCGAGTGGAAGCGCGCATCCGCCAGACGCCCGACCCCCCTCGTCGTCCCGGACGCCAAGAAGCCGGCTCCGGCGGCCAAGCCGGAGTCCGGCATGGAGGTGATCAACGCGTGGGAGATCATGGCCGGGCTGGAGGACGCCGATTCGCCTGCCAAGAAGCCGACCAAGCCCGGCCGTTGGTCTCCGGCCAGGGTCCTCGCCATGGCCCTGTCGTCGCCCAAGAGGTCGTCGGCGAAGCGGAGGAACACGCCGGGGAAGGAGAACAGCCCGCTGCAGCGTTGCTCCGGGAAGGAGAACAGCAAGCCCAGCGACGTCGCCGACGAGGACAGGGTCCTCCGCCCGTATAACTCCATCGACAACTCCAAGCTGTCCAGGGCGTCCAAGAGATTCTCCCCGGGAAGCGCCCGGGTCGCCCGGAAGCCCAGCGCGGCCGAGACCGGAGGCATGTCGTCGTCGCGCCGGAGCCTGAGCCCGCTGTTCGACCCGGAGCTCCTCGCGTCCATCGAGCGCGAGCTGTCGGAGGAAGGCGCGCACATCAAGCGGGTGATTGGGTCCGAGAAACCCAAGCAGCCGAAGGTGGTGCCGGCCATCGTGGCGGAGGGCAAGTGCCCGCCCGGCGGCGCGGACGCGGTGGTGCTCTACACCACCACCCTCCGCGGCATCCGCAAGACGTTCGAGGAGTGCAACGCGGTGCGCGCCGCGATCGAGGCCCACGACGTGAAGGTCATCGAGCGGGACGTGTCCATGGACTCGGGCTACCGGGAGGAGCTGCGGCTGCTGCTGGGCGGGCGGGAGCTGCGCGTGCCCGCCGTGTTCGTCCGGGGCAAGCACGTCGGCGGCGCGGCGGAGGTGACGAGGATGGAGGAGGAGGGGAAGCTCAAGGCCCTGCTCCAGGGGCTGCCGCGGGCGCGAGTCTGGTGCGCGGGGTGCGCCGGCGTGAGGTTCGTCATGTGCAGGGACTGCAACGGCAGCCGCAAGGTGCGCGTCGACGGCGAGCGGAAGGAGACGGTCCAGTGCGGCGAGTGCAACGAGAACGGCCTCGTCCGGTGCCCCATCTGCTCGTGATGGGGATTGGATTGTTCAGGGTTGATTTGCTTGTCTACCCGTCGTCTGGTGTTTGAGCCTCAGAGTCAGAGGCTCTGATTTTGCGATGTTCTTGTTGCGCTCTGCAACCTACGAGTACTAATTAAACACCTGTAATGCGTACCCGTTCATATTGATTCGTATCTAATTAAATTGCGTTTCATTCTTTCCTATTGAAGCTGCTTTCAGAAGGGTCACTGCCTATTGCATTTTCGCTGTTTCTTTCTAAGAAAAGACAACCAAATAACGTCTTAGATCTGATCACTCTAAGGGCATCTCCAATGCGAGGCGCTTAGCCTGGGCTCCAGCATCCTAATCCTGGTTGATTAGCGGTTGCCGTGTTAAATCCGGGCGTCACCCTAGCCATCGGCGCAAAACCATGCACCACGCGCTTGGCCTCTTTTCTTCCTGCACCAAGTGCTTGTGCTGTTTGTTGATTAGCGTCTTCCGTTGAAAGCTGAGACGCTTAGGTGCTTTTATTTTCTTTTTATATTATTTTTTTCTTGTAAGCGCCTATCTAAGTGGCTACCTCCGGGTTTATTGGTCCCCATTGTATTTCGTGCCAAATTTTAACCATGGATTAAACTAACAAAATGTTCACGCATGTCACCAAACATTATATTTTTGAAAACTATGTTCAAGTACGAATCCAATGAGATAATTTTTCTTGACATGCATTAACATTTTGTTAGTTAAATCTTTAATCAAAATTTGGCACAAACTACAAACGGGACCTATAAACCAGGAAGAGGTAGTAGCATGTAAATGCCCTAAACGCGCCGTTTGGATGTATGCATCCAGAGGTAAGGCCCGTTCGGGAACAGTCCGGCTCCCAACTCCGCGGAGCTGAAGTGATGGGGAGAAGCAGCGCACAGTTCATTTTTGCAGAGCACCAACGTTGAGCGGAACGGAGTTGCATAAGTGATCTGTTGCAGAATATGCCCATAGACTTCCATAAACTTGAGGAATGAAGGAATAGTTGTTGATGTTTAATGAGAATAATGGCTCTTTATTTATTAGAGACATTAAAATTATGCGCTAACCCAGCCCTCTCAGATCATCATCATTTTTACCGTCAAGTCTGGACTTATGGTCATCTCTGAGCATTGGATCTTCACTTAATCCTGCTACTCCCGTGAAAAAATCCTTGATTTGCTGTTAATCCGGCCTATTGGGCCCTACGTCTTCCGTATGTGGTCGATTCAACATCCAAGCGAAGAAACACAATGTGACCTCTACTTATCCACGTCCCCTTATTCCACTCTTGCCCTAAGCCTAATCGCCGCACCGATGAAGCGAAGTGAAGGGCAATGACAATGAGCCACCCCTCCTAGCGACCTGGATCAGCGCCATGGAACCGAGCGCGTCTCCCTTCCCCAAACTTGAACTCGAGCGACAAAGGCCACCACGACTTGGCAGCGCTACCGGTAGAATCGGCGTTCTAGGCGAGCAACCATACAGGTGGTCATCGCCAAGGTTGAAAATAGCTAGGCGAAAGCAAAGCAGTTGGCCTTCACCTAGTGCCCTAGGCGCAGCCTAGACGTAAATACAGTTTTGGCTATCGAAGTATATTTGAAATACTATACGTGTATCGATATTGATTTAGAGCATATAAGTGGGTAAACTACTAGCTATTGCCATTGGAATATCGCCCATTTGGCTTGTCTGTGCAATATTGCATTATTTATCGCTTAAGTGGACAATTTATTGCTTGTCGTGCCTAGAGTTTCGCTTATGCCTAGCGAGGCGTTTGATCATGCCTAATGCCTAAGCGTGCCTAAGCGCCTCCTAGGCACCGCCTTTTCCAACAAAGGTCGCTGTGGTTTTGTCCTTCCTACACGTAGGTTGTTTCTTCCATTGGTAGAGTTCGTCCTTCTCTCCTATACAATATGCTTACAATGGAGAGGGCCTCATGGAGGTATGTTATCCTGATCCACTCGTCTCCCTAGCATAGCAATCCATCATGACTTCTCGCCTCTGCGATGCGCTGGTGGGCGCCAGGGTAGCTCCCTCTTCTCTAGGGCATGCGGGGGGACTCTAGCTCAAATAAAGGTCTCCTCTCTAATATCAACGATGAATAGTATTGGTTGCCAGAGGTCTATTTTTCATTGAAACGGCTTTGTGATACTTTATTCTATTGTTGCAGTCCAGGACATAATTGACGAGTGTGTGTACGTTTCTTTTCCACGGATATGGCAATTGTTTGCTCTAATAGTCTAAAAGGAAAAAACAATTCACATGTAGACTTGAAAGCAGCAGACTGATTCCGAACTAAAAGGATTTTGGGCCTCATGGACCAATTAGTCAAAATCTACATATTGGCCTCACTTCCTTGCATTTTCTTTGGATAAATGTTTTCGACAAAGGGTGATTTCTTTGGATAAATCTGGAAAGATAATATTTTGTGGCAGTCGTTGTTGCCATGTTCAGTTTAGTGTTTATACTCTACATGTGAAGTTTTCCAATATCACTTATTCCCATGAGTATGTTGGTACATCAAAGACTTTGCTCATATCCATTGTTGTGAGCAGTAGTACATACCTGTAACATTATCTCACATCATTCGTGTGACAAGGAGCTCATAAAAAAATATTAGAAATTCACAAGACGGTTATGTATGCCCATGTGTGTCAGGCTTTGTTCACATTTATCCCCACAACAATTTCTTAAGTTTCATGTCGAGCCTAAACAAGAAGCTCAAGAAATTTCTTGTATTAAAAATTTACAATTTATGGCTTTCATGATTTATCAAGTTTGCTATGCTTGTGCGTTTACAATGGTTTTGTATTATGAAGGAATGAAACGATAGTACTTCTTGTGTTAAATTCTATTCATCTATCAAATTATAGACAAAGCAAAGTAAAAAAGTTATTTCATAAATTTGATGAAGTTATATTCTCCTTTTGCAAGCCTCATGACTCAAGATCACGTCCTTTATTTTCACCAGGCATCACATTTGTGTTGCCAACGATGGCCTCAATGCTCAAACAACGAAAACACGTTTGAATATGGTCAATCCTAAGGCGTCTCTCTTACTCGTGCGCGCACATACTCACTCAGAATAATATGAGAAACATGTTGCTTTTCCGTGCAAGGTTTTTCAAAGATGTGTATGTGTGGTTATCAATGTTTTCTTTCCTCTCTATCTGGTTTTAATGGGTGTTTATTTGCAATTCGGATTGCTGCCGGTACGAAAGAAAAACGGACCGTGCACTATAGATTAAGTATGCACCAAAAATAATGTTTTAAAAATATTTAACAGCTAAAAATAACATCATATTTAGATTCTGCGCATTTTTCTAATCAAATTTCATATATAACATATTAAAATCAGGGTTACGGTTTAAAAGATATGGATAATTTTCTTTTAGATAAACTGCGGATTGATTAACCAAAAACTCGAGGGGGTTTCTATTAAAAAGAAAAAAAACGATTCGGCTGACTTAAATATGGACTGTAGTTTGATTACCTAAAATGTCAAAGGGTTTTCTGAGAAAATTCAGAAAAGACGGTTCAGCTGTGACTTAAACGTGTATTGCGGGTTAATTTACAGAAAACGGAGGTTTTTTTTAAATGACGCAACGGTGAGCGGGCAGAAGCACTCCATGTTTGACCTACCAATTGGATAATCAGATCAAATTTCCATTATTTCAAGGCCAAGTAGAAATACAATTATTCTGGACAGACAATAAGGTGCCTTGCCTTTGTGGTATCAAATTGTTAGGCGATAACATCGCCGAGGTATGATAGCCCCTTTCTATTTTATTTTCCTTGAAACCTGTACATGAAGCAAATGTTTTGTAAGTTTATGAACTATGGCCCTTCTGTCCCTCCGTCCCTAAATATAGCGCACATAAGAAATTTTAAAAGTCGAACTTTGACAACATTTATAGAGGAAAGTATCAACATTTATAATATTAAATAAATATCATTGGATGCATCATTAAACATATATTTATGTTATATTTATTTGGTTTTTTTATATTTTCTCACTAAACTTGGTCAAACTAAACAAGGTTTGACTTTTAGAAAATCCTATCTGCACTACATTTTGGAATAGATGGATATTGCATTTTTCGTACTGAAGAAGACATAACCCAACTAATTATGGTAGGATGTAAATTGTCAATTCCAGATACGCTGGAAGTTCTACCCTCATGCCTATTGTGAATTGTGGTGAACAAGTAACCTGAAGTCACTCACTAATCGATGGTACACCATTCAAGCAATCACAAAGCAAGTATTGCGGCTAGTACAAATAACTGAAAGTCCGATGGCCAAGCAGCGCGACATTCCAAGAGGTTGAGTTTTTTCGCTATATGTGTTAGTCATTTGGTCGGATATGCTCTATGTGTTAGTCATTTGGACGGATATGCAACTAGTTGATCATGCATTTTCTTTGTTGTCTGGTCGTGCGGTCACATTGTTCTTAAATGTAGAGAAGAAGCACTTCCTCTTCATGCATTATTGGTTGAAGTTGAATGCGCACCCTAAGTAGCTCAATGTCGTCGCAACTCCATCAAGACCGCCGCCATGTTCAATGTAGGTGAAGATGGTGATCCAACAAAAGGCCTTGCTCCGGCCAGAAGGATGGCTAGGAACCAGGGAGGAAGTGGGAGAGGAGAAGGAGAAGCAAGAAGGTGCAATGGCCAAGTTTACAGATAGGTTCCAGGACATCATGATGAAGGAGACATGAGTCAAGCACAATGTCGTGAAGGAGGGAAAGAAGGCCGAGAGGTTTGACAAGTTCATCTAGTGCAAGAGAAGATGATCAAGCTCCAAGAGTGGAAGGTTGAGCTTGCGGCCACTTCGAATTACACCAAGATGTTGGCCATGAAGATGTAGGACTTGGATCATGATGCCGTGAAGATCGTGCATGCCTATTGTGCTAGGATGTTGAAGCGCTTGATGGTCGATTTGGAGGAGCCAACCGCACGATGAAGAATCACCTAGAAGGCGAAAAAATGAGTTTTTTTGCACAA